CCCCAAAACCCCAAAACCCCAAAACCCCAAAACCCCTAAAAATAAACTTTTGATTGACGTAATTAAAAATTCCAACCCATACTTTTCTTTGATCCGAAAAGTTCTTTATGGAGGCTGTCTAACTCTTGGTTTCTAGGCTTCAATTCATTTTGCCCACCGCCTTCTTCTGAAGGAAGAGGCTCATAAGGAGTTGTTGCCTAAAGATACATCTACTTATTACCTTAGTCTTATCCTGAATCCCGCTCTGATTTCGACTAAACTCAATCCCTCAGTCAAAACTCTTGCCTCTCTTATGCACCTGCGATCTCTTCGTAAACTCAGACTTATCATCTAACTCCTCTAACAACTTCTCTAGGTCTCTTGGAGAAGGCTTGGGGTCCTTCAAGTCTTCTAAAGTGTCCAATTTAAGCTCTAAAGTTGTACTAGAACATACCTTTCTTTTCTTCTACTACAATTTTATTGAGTACTTTATTTTTCTGAATTATTTTTGACTTGGGTTTTATGAGGCTGAGTTATATTCTATGAGGGTAAAATTTTTGGGTTATGGAGAAATATAGAGATGGAGGAAGATATTGTTATTGGTAGAAACCTCTTCATGCTAGTGAGAATGATTGGTTATTAGGTAGTGTTATAGGGGGTAAGAAGCCTAGAGAGATCTTGCAATTTTGGGTATGAGTCAGTTGGAATGTATCAAAGGTAGGAATGATTACAAGTGAAACTTTATGACACAAAAGAAGGCCTATTCAAGCTTAATATAGAGCTTTCTTGTTGGATTTAGGGAAATAGAATCTGTTCGCTTCTCAAAGAATTTTGGAGTCTTAATTACAGAAGATCGCAGTCATAGATAGCCAATTCATACTAACAAATTTATGAATTATGAGAATACAGATCTTATGCAGATTCATTCTTTGTATTAGAAGAAAAAGCTTTACCTAAAGCATGCATAAGCCAGAGCTAGATTAAAAAGAAGTCTCTAAGATAAGCCATCTTGATGCTTTAGACTTAGAAAAATTTAGTATCTCTCTTTAGTTGTAGGTATTGTGGAACTATTGAAAACCAGCTCCAATATCTAGATCCTGTAAGCGAGGTCCACCTAAACTTATACTGTATAACTTTGAAGGGTTCAGCAGCCTGATTTGACGCCTAGAAATAACCAGGAGCTTAGGGTAACTACTTTCCGACGTTTTAGAGGTACTAAAATTACAAAAGGAATTCTAATAGTTTATGTCCTAAATATTTAGGATTCATTTTCTGAATTCTGGAAAATACTTTATTTTTACTTGAGGGAACTAGCTTTGTGTCCTTCGAGAAATTTTACTCTAAGTTTTGAGCTTACTTGGATGGGGAGACTGGATTTTAGGTTGGGAATTTTGGCTTCTTCTTTGCAGGCAAATTGGGACGTCTTCAGGCCACTACGGAGAAGGTCGAAATGTGGGTTTCTAGGTGAAATACCCTTTGTGTTATTATTACCCACAGAGCCTCTCTCCTTCTCAAGATCACTCAGTTTAGAATGATCAAGCGCTATTAATTAACCCTCTTCTAAATTCCTTACTGCAACTGTTATTGATCTTCTTGGCTAAAGAGGGCTGAGTGCGGCTTCCTAAATTTGGAGGTTTTAAGTACTGTCGTTATCGAGACTGGCAAGCTGGTTGTTACGTTTGAAGTTTCGGGTCTCTATAGGGTGAGTTTTGGGGAATACTGATTCTTTTGAGGATGACTGAGGATTTGTGGGCAAGTTGGCTAGGGTCTTTATTTGGCAAGTTTTTGGATTTCTCGTTCGACTATGTGTCTGTTGCGGCGTTGTTTTATGAGATCGAGTTGGATTTGTTTTTGTTCCTCGCTAAAGATGAGGGAAGAGGGTTACTCAGCGGTTTTTGGAGAGGATTTAGGCGTATCTGTGTGGTTAGAGGTGGGGGTTACTGAGATTAGTGTTTTTGAGGATTGCTTTAGTCGGAGTAGTGATTTTGAGGGTCTCTATATATTGCATTGGTATCTTTGAAAATTTTGTAATTAATTACACAAATTTTGTAATAATCATATATTTTACATCTAATACCTACCAGAATATTGCTGAAAATTAAAAATCCCCCATTAATAACTTCCAAACACAAAATTCCCCTAGGACTTTCATCCCCCAAAACCCTCTCAACCCCCCTCAAAACCCCCAAATCCCCTACCTCTCTCCTTCTTCCCCTCTTCATTCTCCTCTCATGCTGTTCTAACCCTCCTGGTCGCTACACCATTAACACCTCCCTCCCCCTTCACCCCCTCTCCCCATTGGTCCACTTACAGTCAATTATTCTAAAATCTTAACTTGCTTAACTTACCGTTTATCCCCATTGGTCTGGCAGCATCCCATTTTATAACAAAATATTATTTCAATATAAGCTCTTGCTTTGGGGTTTTGGGGTTTTGGGGTTTTGGGGTTTTGGGGTTTTGGGGTTTTGGGG